CTGCTGCCTCGGTGTGCCTACCTGGACATGCTCGTCAGGATTATATTAATATTTCTTAGGAATGAGACTCATGTGCATATGTTGTGACTAAGAGGGAACTCTGTAGAAGTTCATGATTGGTTGTGCACATCATATTATATAAATGATAGCTATTTTAGTACACAGTATATTCTTTGACCTGTCCAGGGTGTACCCCGCCTTTCGCCCAGTGCCGGCTGGGATTGGCTCCAGCCCCCTCATGACCCCTTTCGGGATTAAGCGGTATAGAAAATGAGATGAGATGAGATGTTTTCTTTGTGTTTTAAATACAAATTGCTTTTATGTTTTAGAACAGAAACACTCTCCAACAGGTGACATGTGAGGTTCTGACGTTTCTTAAAGTCGTGCCAAGTACCATCTTTTTCTGACTTATTTTTATCTGATTGAAAAAGATCAGAAATGCTTTACAAACACTGTCCAGTTAATTCTGATGATGGCAACGCAATCTTCCAGTTGCGGAAAAGCTCGTCCTACAGCTGCCACAGCCAATAGGGAAGTGGGGAAGAGGCCTGAGCTGTATAATCCCTGCCTGCCTGCCCTTCCCCCATAAAGCTGGACTCACAGAGACACATGATGCACACAAGCATTTTAGTTTTAAGAGTGAACAGACTGTGTTCAGTGACTATGGTCTGAAAGCAGGGAAGCAGGGAAATAAGCCAGACAACAATTATATGTAAGTCAGGTTGACAGCTGGGAATGTGAGGGAAGAAGGAGAGGAGAATGTACACAAAGGGAGGAGAGGGGTGTGTGAGAGGGATGGAGAAGCAGGTGAAGAGGCAGAGGGTGAGAGAGGCTCTGCTTCTTGTCCTGACTGACACTCTGCTGCTCTTAATCCAGATTAGAGTGTCTAAAACTGGTCGGCTAAATCTGCAGGCCAGCCAGCAATACTCACCCTGCACACACACACACACACGCACACACTACACACAGTCATAATCTCCTCTGGGCAAACCAGGTGCCACCAGCAGCTCAGCACAGAACCACTAACCACCCGCCATCCCTCTAGTTAGGCCCAGCTGGCCCTCGATACTGTCGCACTGAATGCATAGTATATTCACATCAAGCACCATATTTGGCAAGAAAAGGCAGCTTTCACACCCTTTCCTGTTTTGACAGACTGTCCACAGTCAGAGACAGCTGATAGGTGTGAGTGAGATTCAGGTACATGTTCGTACCTTTGGCCTGCTGAGTCACCATAAAGCCCAGTATGCCTGGCAGATTTAGCATATCCTGTCTCAGTGAACCTGACCATCTGATGGGGGAAGTGCACCTGCAGAAGTAAAGGTCTATGGTTTGGTGTTTGTTTGACTCTCAAAGAAGGATCCAGGCTGGATCCTCTACTACTGCACTGAGGAAAACCTGTGACATGAGCTGCAGTAACTGATGCCTTTGTTGTCCTCTTAGCTGTAGCAGTTAACAGCTGTGCATGCCAGTACTGAAAGAAAGAAATCTAGAAAGGACTGGATAATCCTGATAAACATGAAGATTTGGACAGTGGTATTTATCATGTCATCTCACTCTGGACAAGCAAGCTAATAAGCAAAACATCACACTATATCTTTATAATATGTTGTGTCTTTTTTTTATTAATTGACATTTTACACTACTTTGTCTTATAATTGTATTAATCTATTTCCTGTTTTGTACATTTAATATCTACAGTATTTATCAATCTCAATCAATTGCACTGCATAAAAATCCATAACACAGGCCTATATAGGCCCTTTTCTCCCAAAAGAAAAATAGCACCACCAAAAATAAACTCTTTCTACTGTATACTGTACTACTGCTTTTAGATCAATACATTTTTAAGACAGCTTTCCCATTATATCTTCTCAGAACATCCGTTACTATGAATGAACATTACAGTACAGAGAAAAGATAAATTGATAGATACTGTAGATAGAGCCATTTTCCAAGTAATACATCACTGTGTAAACAACATTTACGTTCTTAATTGGATGACTTTGAGTGCAGTCTATTCTCATATTCATTTTAAAAGCACTACTTGCTAGAATTCCAATCCATGAACACTACGCATGTTTCCAAAATACATGATGACGACAGCATGTCATAAATGTATATGTGATTTTGGCCATGTTTCTAAACATTTTAATCAGCTTATATCTCAGCAGATCTACAACTTAGATTTCTCTCACTTAATTAGGATAAAAGTAATAAAGGATCATGGCAAAGTCAAATGTATTTTAGGATGAAAGTAGCTTCATGGCAATGAAACCCAAAGTTTGGGAGGATGTGTAGTCTCCACAGTTAGTGAAATACTATATACTGGGTCATACATTTGTATACATGAACTGCATTAAAGAAGAGAATAAGTATAAATTAAATTAACAAAACAAAATCACCTTTATTTCATTTACCGGACAAGTGAGAGGCAGTACCACTAGATGGCAGGATTACACGTGGCATGCATGGAACCTGTCATCAATTTACAACATGAAGTAGATTTGTGGTGCTGCCTTTGGGAACGTCAGGTGGGTGGGTAGTTAGAAACAACTGTCACAATACGAAAATGGTCTAGCATGAAAATAACGACCCAATTCAGTCTGCCACATGGAGGTTATCATAAAACCAATTATCAAGGAGCTATCGTAAAGTGAAGATTGGATGATTTTATTGTTTATTCAAAACAAATCACAGAAAAACTAAAATAAAGAGAACTTATATGAGATTGGAAATGCATTTCTGAAATGAAGCACACTTTTCATCGCGAAAGGCTTGATTAAAACCCAGTTTGTTTATGTTTATGAGCACTGAAAGCGACGTGTCCGAGCACCTAAACGTCTCATTGTCGTCATCTTGTTCCCGGATGTCAAATTGTTAGAGTAAACCAGAAACACGCTGGAGGTAAGACACTTTATCTTCAAAATAAACTAATGGGTGTTACTGAATAAGCCGTCATAGTAGCTGGAACGTTATTTATTTATGAAATGAATTACCGAAATGTTGTTTTCTCTTTTCAGTGAGGATGCTTTGACTCTCAGGCTGTGAACAGAGCAGCTACACAGCAACAATGACTGGTTGAAATTCTTGGCATTTCTGATCAAATTAGTGAGCTGAGTTTCAGCCTGCACGATGCTCGGAGAGCTGTACCCCTTCGTGGAGGGCAGTTTCTGCCGCTTCCCGTCGCAGAGCAACATTTACGGGCTGTGCCAGGCCGGGGAGCAGGAGCTGTTGGCGGCCACTCTCAAAGGGAAGGTGTCGTGTTTCAGGTACCAGGAGCTACAGCAGAAAGTCCGACCCGTGGCCAAGGAGGTTCACTTCACCTATATACCAGGTAGTCACCGGCAAACCCGAGCATCTGACGTCACTGAGATCAGAACATGGGCTCCACAAAAAGTCTCGTAACCGCAGGATAAATTCTCAGTGTAGTGTAAAGCAGATGAGCTGGTCTTTGGCTACCTTTACTTCATCAAGTGTTTTCTTTTAATTACTGACAGTTCTCATTGTTCAACAGTATTTTTTTAAGGTATGCGAAACTGCAGATGTTTTTTTCTTCGCAGCAAGTGATGGTGTGTTCAGTGTTTGAAGTATAAAGAATGCTAAATAGATCAGATTGTTGTCATTCAAAGTCATTGTGTCCTAAAACGTGTTGTCTTCCATGCACACTGGGTGTTGATTATTGCTGCATTCGTTACCTAGTTGATGCAGAGATTGTATCAATTGATGCCTTCAACAAGTCTCCTCCCAAGAGAGGCCTGGTGGTGGGCATCACATTCATAAAGGTATGTTCATATTGACATTCAGGAGACGCAGCATGTGTGTAGGTTCCTGTAGTGGTTGTGAATGCTTTCTACAGAGACACAGTCGTTGCTTCTTCTGACTGATCTTCTGCAGGACTCTGGTGACAAAGCCACTCCATTCCTGAATATCTACTGTGACTATGAGCCTGGCTCAGAGTTCAACCTGGATTCTATTGCACGTAAGTGAAGCTGTTTCCAGATGTGTATGGTCCTCATGTTACCACGTTTCACGTGCTGTTGTTAAGGTGTCCGTCTCTCTGAACAGAAAGCTGTCTAAATCTGGAGCTGCAGTTCACACCCTTCCAGCTGTACCACACAGAGTAAGTCAAACGGATTCACTGTTTCTACAGGATCACACAATGGACAAAACACTGGACTCACTACAGTGACATGTACAACACAGACAATCTGTTCTTGGAAATGTAGTAAATGTTTACAGCTCAGTCAATGTTCCACAACCTCTAGCATGTCAGTAGTTTGAAGGACTGTCATTCATGTGTAAAATGTGCTATTGAATATCATGAGGTGACTTTGTAAATATGGTTACTACAATGTGTCCTAGTATCACCTTTATCAA